CAGCAGGGGATGGCGACTATATTGTGGTCACTGTGCAACTAATGCAAAGATAAACTAAGGGCAGGTGATTTATGGGAAATATATATTTGGTTTTCATCCACAGTTCTTGGTTCACAGCTTTCCCCAAAGCCTTGGAATTTTCTATGCAGGAAGAATCAGCACAATTTGCAAAATTTGGATGTATTTCATTTCTGAATTCTTAATGCCAGTTTTCTTTTGCAAATCTATTCAGGTATATCTATTTCCTTAATATTCAAAATCACTATTTTTTGGTATGGTACTGTGTAGGTCTTTAAAGAGGGTATGGGAAGCACACATCCTGTTTTTCAGGGTCTTACTGATCTAGTTGGAGAGAGAAATCTACTTTTACAAAAGTTGAGTAATAATGAACAAATTTATATTTATTGGCACCTAAATGAATAATCCAGATACACAACGTTGTTGTGTTTTAATGATGAGGAGATCCATGTTTTTGTAAATGGGTAGTATTATTCACTGTAGGAGATAGAATTTTCAACTGGGCCTTGGAAATGGAGTCAGAGAAGAGAGAAAATAATAGTCCAGGCAAGAAAAGTGAAGATCTAGAAATGAGTTGATATGTTTTTCTGTCACAAGACAGTTCTAGGTTGCTGTGAGAAACAAGGTTGGGTACACAGGTTGGGGCCAGAGTGGTACAACAGACAAACTGAGAGTGGACTGGCATGCAGCCAGGCATGGGAGAGCACTTTATCTCATCTGCCATCTCTGATTGATGCACAGTGGCTGCCCAGATGAACTCTGTAAGCAAGACAAAGTATTGACTCAGTAGGTATGAATGTGATGATGTGTCAGTGATTCCTGCTATGGATGCTGGTGGTGGGAGTGGATTATGGACAGGAGTCCTGCTTCATAATTGCCTTCTTATTAGAAACAGAGATTTGGAGACACTGGCAGTCCCCAACCCCTGCAGACTATCACTTGGCTCCAGATTCTATATTTTTAATCTCAGTATAATTCTGTATCTTACATTTCGCTTATTTCCCTATCTGATCACAAGTTACGGAAAAAAGATGAATTCCTGTACTAATTATCTAAGGGCTCTCACTCTGCATCACTTTGTGTTAAGGATGTTAGAAATCAGGAAGGGATATTTGCTGGTCAAATACTTGCATCGATATTTACAATACAATTTCTGGCCTATTTTAATTTCTGTGGACTACGTTTAGGGAAGTTATTGACAAATCTGCTGAAGTAACAAGCTAGTGTATGACACACAATTTTGGAATTTTATCCTAATGGGGTTGTTATTGGTTACTGAAGAGTCTTAAAAATAAGACACTTTATAAGAGGTGTTTAGAGAGGAAGATCTGGAAGTAACATTGTATCATTTGTCCATTCCATTTTTCCCAGAAGTCTCAGCTGAATTGTCTGATTAGCAGTGGGTCATGTTTTCCCCAAGTGTGAATGCCAGACCACAGAGTAATCCATGCTCCATGGATTAGAGCTGAGTGAAGATGTGCTTGGTGTCTGTGCCGGAGGTATTCTTTAAGCAAGAGAAACATTCTACACTTTGAACTGGGGACAAGCCCACATCGGATCTTTTAGAAATGACAAAAATTTAATTCTATAAATGTGTTTTTTCTCTTTTAAATGCTAGTTCTAATTTAGGGATCTTTGATGTTGATGTTGAATGTTGAAGCATCAGTCAAATCTGGGATTGTCAATTTCAGAACCACTATGAAGAATAACTACAATAGTGTGTGAATACTCTGTCCCTTAGAAGTGTATCCAGCTTCCAACTACAAAGATGTAAGAAAAAATAATTAATTAAAAAAGAAGTATATTCACCTTCCAAATTCTGCCCATCACTTCTTTCATATCCTCCCTGATCTCCAAAAAATAATTATACTTCCTGTTACTTTAGTTGGAAAGACTTTGAAAATGTTTCCATACAAAAGTCCTGGGATTTTAGGTTTCAAAGACTTTAAAAGTCTTTTTTTTTCCTAATTACAGAAGTAAAACATATTGTATTCCATATTAATATGTATTCAATTAGCTTATAATCTGCAAACACAGATTAGTTCAGATATTTTTCTTGTTTATGTGCTAATATTTTACTCACCTAACTAGTTAATTTTTGTTTGTTTCCTCTTTTAGCATATAAGCTCATTTAGAAAGGGATCTGTTGTCAATTTCTTTGTCTTTCATCTTCAGAACTTGAAATATAGTTAATACTGCTGAATGAATAAATATAATTAATACTGCTGAATGAATTGTTCACACCTTAGAACTGATAGAACAGTAAAAGGAAGAAAGGAAAACTCAAAGTATATGGCATTTAGAAGGGGTGTGTATGTGTGCATGTATGTATGTGTATGCATTTCTGGTTTTACAAGGTTAGCTGAACCATAAAAATGACGACACAAGTTGATATTATGTGGAAAACCCTAATTATTGATGGGAAGAGTTGCTATTATTCTTTGACCTTGAAAAAGTTTTGTCAGATCATTAAGATCTTTCTTGCTATTGATTACAAAGGTGTAGGGAAACAAAAATAATTGTAAAATAGGTATTTATTTAGTACACACTTTGAAATTTTAGAAATATTGAGATTAAATAGTTTATTTCCTTGTAAAATCTTATCAGAAGTGGTTTGAGAAGTGGTTCCCTTTTCCTTATTGCACAGTTTATAAAATGGAGTGAACATCTTTTCTCTGGTCATACTCCTAAGTTTGGATCAGCTGCCAACATTTCATCTTCTGTACTTTTCATGTCATGAACTGTGTCTGAGAGGCCAGTTACAAAGTTTTGTTTTTGCATTTTGTTTTTGCCAGCATCACATTCTTTAGAACATCTTTATCATTTTGGCACAACCACTTATTTATGTTGGTACGTGCCATCACTGAACTCCAATTGTATTTCTAGAGTTTTTCAAACGGGCACATGGTAGCATTGTCATGGTGGCATTCCCACCAGCAGCTTTGTCTTCTAGAACTCCATTTACATTTGACACAGATTTCACTTTCAAGTGTTACCACTTCATCTTTATTGACCACCTCCCTCTTTTGGTCATCTATGTCCTAGTAATTTGTCATTGGGAGACAAGATGGCAACACAATCGCACATTTTAGTTGTATGTGCATGAATGGATAATAGTCAAGTGATCAATCATTGACATATTGACAAAAGCATGATGATTGGACACTGATCATGATGCACATGCTACTTGCATTGTAATTTATGGATTGAAGAGCTAGCAGTGAAGTTTATACTTTTTGCAATTTTTATTCATAGTTAATATACTATATTAACTCAAATTTGAACCATGTTGTTGGGAGGGATAGTTATTTAACTCAACTGTGGTAAATGAAATTCATATACATTAGAATATGTAAAGTGAAGCCTCCCTCAATTTCAGACTTTATTTTATGGATATATGTGTGTTTTTTCTTTACCAAAGTGACACCACTTTATGAATATTATTTTGCAATTTTACTTTTTCATTTGAAATTCTGTGGTGTGTACATAAAAAATCTTGATTTTATGTTTTGTGATTACTTGTTATTTTACCAAATAGTTCTAGTATAATATCACCAAATCTCCTTTTGGCATATTATTTAGGTCTTCTTTCCTCAGTTGTGAACAGTGCTGCTGTGGTCACCTCTGTAGCTAAGTTTTTGAGAGAAGAACTGTAAAAGCTGTATATTCTGTGAGCTAGCAGTTCTGCCACTAGAAAGATATTTATTTCAAGCAAGTAAAATATTTCTATATCTTTCCAAATTTCCCTTCAGAAAGATGTTCCTATTTAGGCTTCTACCAGCAACATAATTGGAGGGGTACTGACATGTTTCCTAAGCCCTTGCCAATGCTGGGTATTATCAGTCTTTTTAAATTTTGCCAGTTTCACAGGTAAAAACATTTGCCTTCTTTTAATAATTAGTTTTGACTATTATGTTGAATATTTTTATGGGTTAATTTGTAGCAAATATATTTTGAGCTATGATATTTTGTTCTGTATTATAGTAGTTTTCAGGTGTTAGAGATTTTCTTGTTTTATTAGGTTGTTTGAATACATTTATACAAACTTATTACACACACACACATATTATCTGTGTACTTGTATTACACTTGCATTCACAAGTGTATATCATTCTTGGTTTTACCCAGGGATTGTAAGGAATCTATGTGGACCTCAGTTTTTGTAATATGATCATCAGTTTCCAATGCTTTATGTTTTATTTTAAAAGAAAGGGAAAATAACCGACAACCTAGGGAAGTTTTAGTTAATTTTTCATTACATGGTTTTCAGGAGTTGGGGTCAAAAGGAGCTAGTAGGGCATTCAATTATGTGCTTGAGTGTGTTGGAAATTATTTTTTCCCCCTTAGGTGTACAATATTTTACTTGAGCTTGTTTTTCAAGTGCACTAAAGTGTGACTAAACATTTTTGGGTACTGCCATTATGTAAAGAAGAGGCCCTGTCTAGTTAAATATTCCTTCATCAACTTTGCAGTTAGCCAGTTGTGGGCAGTGAGGAGGCTTGGAGGGCATGGGCTTTAGGGATTGGGTAGATGGAAGGGAGGTGGGAGGTGGAGGCTTGGGGGAAACTCAGAATTGTGGTTCTGTTGCCCCCTCCCACTGCTGTAGAAAAAGTGATTGGCTCAGGCTGGTTTCTGTCTCATAATTTTGGATGGGTCTTAAATAGGGAAAGAAGGAAAGTCATGTGGTTGGACCACAGCTCATCGGAGGGGCTAAAGGTTCTTTGTCACACACCACACAGAACTGGAGCGTTGTCCTGGAGAGTTGTGGAGAGCTGAAATACAGTTTAGAGCCAAAGGAATAGAGAAGGGCTTTGATTTCTTTTCGTTTCTAGGTTGGGAATAGGGAAGCTCAGCAAAGAAGATGTCTACTGAGAATGTGGAAGGGAAGCCCAACAACTCTGGGGACAGAGGAAGAGCCCGGAGCTACACTTTCCTCAGGGTTGTGCAGCCAGTGTTTAACCACAGTATTTTCACTTCTGCAGTCTCTCCTGCTGCAGAACGCATTCGATTCATCTTGGGAGAGGAAGATGACAGCCCAGCACCCCCTCAGCTCTTCACCGAACTGGATGAACTGCTGGCTGTGGATGGGCAGGAGATGGAGTGGAAGGAGACTGCAAGGTGAGGCATGGCTGGCTGTGCAGGACTGACCTGGGGCAGAGCAAGAGACTTTGAGCACCTTTTTCTAGCTTTAGCACTTGTGCTAAGGCTAGAATAACTTATGAACATGATGTTCTGAGTTAAATAATAAAATGATCTGTTCCCACTCTCCTGTGTTGACATGGATGCAGGGCACCTTATATTATATTGCAGGAGCATTGTTTCATTGATCTGTGTTGTCACAACTTAACCTTTTTATGAAATTAGACGTAAATCTCCAGTCATTTGCTATCAGCAGTAAAATACTTCGAAAGATAAACTCAAACACCTGATGATAGTGTAGAGATGTTTCCAGTTTGCACATGCCTAGATATCCTGTAAGATCCTGTCTAGGACTTATTACCCATTCTGTGTTAAGAGGGTGGTCACAAAGACAATGATTTTTACCCACAAAGATGCTGTCATTCCAAATAAAAACCTGCCATATTTTAAATATCCATCTGAAAGCAAGTAGAATTTGATGTTTAGAGAACTGAGTTCACTTTCAAAACCTGTCACCTGTTATCAGTATAATACTTTTTCTGAAAGTTTTAATTTCATCAACAATAATGCATAATAATGCCTTCTACATAAAATATGCTATATAAATATGTGTAAACTAGATACAGCATTATCTAATTGTATTAAGTATATTTTTATATACTTACATATGTGTATGTATATATAGAAATACTTTTTAAATTGTTCAATTTTCACATATATATGCAGTGTCATTAATCTCATAACAGAGCTTTTCTTTACATGTACAATCAATTATATAATCTGCACAAAATCTTCTATGACACAACAATTATTTGTAACATGAAAATTTCAGTATGTTACGTTTATTGGTCTCTCGTTGTCATTACATGTAGATCAATGAATTTGACCTTCACAAACAAAATAATGTTAAAATATGCCTTTTTATATAGCTGGTGATGTAATTTATATCAATTCAGTAATTTTTGAATGCATAGTATATGCCGGGCACTATTTTAGGTATAAGGAACAAGAAAATTGGCATAATAAATTCATACACAGATCACTGTATCTCATAGAAAAGCTTAAAGTGAGTTCAATATAATATATTACAATTTGATAAATAAGGCAAACCAAATCATTCCAGCATTGGGCTTAAGGAAAATAAAGCAAAGGTAGATTAAAGTCTTTCCCATATCTCTTGTCTGATGTTCCAGTTCCAGATAAGTCATTCTGGAGTCAGAATGAAATGATTATTATTTTTGTCTATGATCAGTAAGAGAAGAGGATCTAAAAAGAAGCAATAACTCAATGGTCTTTCTTTTCTGGATGAGGGGCTCTTTTAAGAGTTAAAAAATGAACCTTTATTTTCTGGAGCTTGTTACGTTACAATGTAATGAAACGCTCATCAAGTTAATTGGATTATTTGATAGGTTTTGTTTGGTTATCAGATTTATGCTTTATAGGTTTATGGATTTATTATACCCACAGTAGTAAGTTCTGTTGAATTTCTTTAAGCATTTAGGAGAAGCTTAAATTAATTCACTTGATGACAGTGAGGCTTTTAACCTTCAAGAATGTGTAGGTAGCCTTGTGTAAATACCTGCCTTAATATTGATTAGTAGGGGGAAAAAAGTTTTGTAGAACCTTTGTAGATGATTTCATATTTAACTGTGTTCAGAAAAAAATTCATTAGATTTTAATTCTTTCACAGCAGCATTAAGAGACCTAATCTTTAAGTATTTTGTTTTCCATTTGCTGGCTTATTTTCTTTGCAATATTCAGACACCTAGTGTGGGCATGTTTGTTTTATTTCTTCTGTTTCATATCTCATTGATATTTTCTCCTAATTAAAAACTTTCTGTAGCACCTCTTCCATCTCTAATGCTCCCTCTTAAAACTTTCCAATCTTGCCCTTTAGGATCTTACTGTGTCATTGTGTGATCGTATCTCAGTCCCTCTATAAAGTACACTTTTAGTTCATGAAAATCCTCCAAAAGATAACTGTGAAAGTGAAAACTCTCACATCTATTTCCATTTTATTTTCCTTCTCTAAATCGAATAAAAATAAACAAAAAGAATAAACAGATGAGAATTGTACTGGGGCAACCTGAATTAAATGTTGGGAAGATTTTCATCTAGTTTTGACTTTGCTCAAGCTAACTGTTTAACTTTGGCAAGTAATAGAGTCTTCCTTAACTTGAGTTTTCTGTCAAATAACAGTGTATTAGCTTGCCTTCTCTCTAACATCAGTGTATTTTGTAGCATTAAAATTCCATTCCTGTGTGTATTTTGGTATTGTCAGCTGTGACTAAAAGCCCCACTCTTATTTATTTTCATCTTGAAATTCTATGTGAGTGCCTATCATAGATTAGAATTCATATCTAGCTTTGCTTTCTATTTTTAATCAAATGCAGACTACACTTCATTTTAGATCATCCCTAGTCCCAGAAGTATGGAGTGACCAGTTTCATTGTGGAGGTAATTCAATGGTGAATGAAATGGACATTGTGTTTTCATTTAAGTTTTTTAAAGATTAGGCTGGTCTTATTTACTTTACCATCCTTAGAGACTATTTCCTTGTGAGCACATGTTTCAATTTTGATGATATTATCAGTCTCCTGAGTTACTGTACTACTGGAGAGAGGGAGTGTGGCGGGAGTCCTCCATGTGCTGGGGAAGGCTGTCCAGGAAGAAGCGTACTCACAAATAGTTTATACTGTATTACTTCTCCCAAATAGGTTTGTCACAATCGCTATTAATTGACAGTATATATGATATTATTTTCATTTTGTCTTCCTCATTACACAAATCTGTCTGAAGGCAGGGACCTCCATATCTGTCTTGTGTATTCCTAGGGCTTCACAGTGCCTGGTCTATATTAAGTGCTTAATAACATTTGTTGAGTATAACTAGTTGAGAATGGATTGCCTCAGAAAGAACTGTTCTAAATATAATACTTTCTTAGAAATACTACTTGACCAAAGTTGGACTTTTGTGACAGTTTCTCTCATTATGGCTAACAGACAACCAAAGGACAGACCCAAGGTACATAGCACACCACTGATAAAGTTCAAAAGAGTTCCTATGTTTGAAATTGTGAACCAAATCATCATTATTCTGATGCCTTCTGCATTTAGTTTCTGGCCTAGACTTCCTTCCTTATTTGATAGGAAACAAACACTCAGACAGCTAATAGACATCACAGAATAGCATGTCTAAAACTAGGCATCTGGTCTACCCACTCAGCTCTGTTCTTCCTAAAGAGTTCCCACCACAAAGAACTCCATTTTTCTGGTGGTTCAAGCCAGAAACATTGTAACCTTCCTTGACTTCCCTCTTTCTTTATACCACTTACCTAGTATTGGCAAACCTTTTCTGTTTTGCTCTCAAAGATAATCAAATACTCCAAATCTTATCACCTCTCACTTTAAGTCCTGCCATAACCCTGGTCCAAGCTACCATCACTTTTCGTCTAGATTAATGCAAATGCATCCTAATAAGTCCACTCCCTGTACCTGCCCTTAATGCCCTCATGCACTCTCCACCATGATCTCTTTGACTTCTTCTCCCACTCTCTACCTTGTTTGCTCTGCTTAAGTATCATGGCCATTTTCCTGTCAGGGACTTTGCTCTTGCTGTTTGCTCTGTCTGAAATAATCTCCTTGTCTCATCCTCACGGTTATATCTATGGTTCATTTTCTCACCCTCTTCAGGTCCTTATTTCAATATTACCTTTTTTGTGGCTAAAATTTAAACCTTCCCTGAACACTCAATCACTATTTTTGTCCTTTCTGCTTATTACCTGTAGCATTTTATATATCAAGTTATTCTCTCTTCCCAATAAAATTTAAGTTCCATGAGGAAAGGAATTTTTGGTTGTTTTATTTACCAATATATTCCATCACACACGTCTCAATCAAGAAATGTGTTAATAGAATGAATGAGCAGACAAATAGAAGCTTGACTTTTTAGCTTGCTAGTCTAAGTAATGTTTGGAGGTTTGGAGGAGATTGCTACTCCAGAAATGATTCAGCTTTTCAGTAATTTTTACTTCCTGCAACATAGTCTGTTTCCAAATGTTTTTGTAGTAATTTCTGACTGTCATTTATGATGTCTAGATTCCAGACATGATAGGGTTTTATCTTTCCCATTAAAAGCTCTCAAATCTACCATAGTAATAAAAGTTCAGTGCTTAAAAGGGACTCATTTTCTATATAAAAACATGGCATGAATTTTTTCTGTCTGACTTATAAAATGAGAATTTTCTGTGAAAACTCAACATGACAATTTATTTCCAGATAACTAACCCCCTGGACTTCTTCAATTTAATCTAGTCTCCTCTGTAAAGCACACTTTCTCCTTGCCCGTCAACACAGTCCTATCCCTTTTAATGCTTTCCTTTTGATGAAACTTTTCAGTTGATTTGACCAAGAATATTCAACATGGAGTCTGCATTACTGAAGTCTTAGTTCTACTTCAGAAAGTTCAGTTAGCTCTGTGTCTCAAATAATAAAGCGAATGGTCTCAGTAGTAGGAAAAAGATCTCAATTTAAATCTTAGAAAGCCCAGTGGTCATGTAAAACTAGAGTCTTTATATTGCCTTTCCTGGCATCTTTTCTCTGTTCTTCCTATTTTTCTTTTTTAAACTAGAACTTTGTGGAAATTCAAGCTCTTTCAACATAGAGCACAGGTTGAAAACTGTGCAAAGGGTAGAGTGATCAGGTCTGGGAAATGTACATGACCAGTGGAAGGGCAGAGAATACTTTTTTCTTTTTAGAGTGCTGAGTATCAGTCACTCAACTGTTACATTCTACAATGTAGCAATTAGAATAGTATATTTATGATTAGTGAAGAAGCATATACTCCTAATTCAGAATGTGTAGGTGATTAGGCAGTGCTAATGTGTTCATGAAATAAACTGCTAGAATAATTCATGATCCAACTTTGGTGGTAGCCTAAGGCCAAAAAGGAGTTACTATCACTATCCTCTTTTTCTCCCTAAGTCCTTTATTTGAGTCAATGATATCTCTGCAAAAAATGTTGGTTTGACTTTCAGTTTTTCTTCAGCAAATATTCAGACTGGTAATGATGAATTTCACTGCTTTATAAAGATCACTCCTTCAATGTAATACAAATTGCACTGCCAAACCTGAATAAAAAGGAAAATTGCTACAAGTTTCAACATTAACAAGCCAACAAAGGAAAAGGGTATTGCTGTTTCACCTCTAATGGGACAGAAGGTCAAACACCCACTTGTGTCTGCTCAGCTGATTGACCTGACCTACCTCTGGAGAATGTAAATTCAAGGCACGTCATCAAACACAGACATGTGCACTTACTCCAGGGAGAGAGACCACACACTTCCCAATCTACACTGACATCTCTCTTTCCTCTAATGGATTACTATGGAACATTCCATCTCAGACCAACTTTATTTTTTCTGGGAGAAAGAGGCTGAAGGAAAAGGAATTTAATCATCTATGTAATTATATGTAGTTACATGTACTGTTTTGCAATAATTTTCAGTTGATCTAGAAATTTGAGAATTCTTAAAAACATCATTTATTCCAGAGACATACTAGCATTGGCATCTTTTTATGTGTGACAAGGCACTTATTAGTTAGCAAGAAATTGATTTTAATTGCTTATGTAGTTGGATTATATTCTACTGCAGAGATCATGTCTATTTTCCACCATAAATCTGGCATGTTTTAAGTTAGAAGTCTTGTCTTGTCTTAATTATTTTTAATCATATGATTGGAAAATTGCGAAATTCAGTGATTCCCAGTGGGCCTTCTATTTCTTCAACATTGAGTGAAATCTGTTTGGTTGGCAGTCACTCAAAGTGTGTAAAAATGCAATGTACTTTATCATTCTTCTAAGACCTTGGAATAAATAAACTTCACCTAATAAACTCCTCCTCCAAGGTTACAACAGTTTTGTAATTGCAAGCATTTAAAAAGTCAACTTCTGAATTTAATTTTCCTGTAACATGTCAAGTGCCAAGACAAAAGGAAAAATAGGAAACTTATTGCAAATATATGATTACTCATAGTTATTATGAAGGGTAGATAGTGGCTTTTATCACATTTTACAGTAAAAATGCCTGTTGTTTTTTTTTTTTAAACAATGTAATTACACACTTCTAAAGCACCTTTACAAATTCATTGGCACTCACATAGACTGAACTTTGGTACCATTGCCTTAGCCTTTTCTTTAATGGGTTGTGATTTGAATTGAGTAGTTTTCAGATTTTTTTTTCAAATTTGTCCTTGATATGTGAGGAGGATAGACATAGCAAATTTCAACCATAAAACTACCTGAAAACAATGTGCTAAAATAGACAAGTTACCCATGATCCTGTTAGCTCTGCCATGACATCACAACATTAAATATTTACTGAATTTAAAATAAAATAGACACTAAGCTGAACTATGGAATAGTATGTAACCCTTCAGAATAGAGATTCTAAGGAACTGGTTATTTTTGAGACTTCATGTTTACATTCCTTTATAGTTATATCGTGACCTAAAGGATGATGTATTCCAGGAGAATGCTATTCCATAAATCTAAGGTAGCTGGGATTTATGATTTCTTATTGTCTTTTAAAAACTCATTTTTAAGTATTCAGAGTTGTATTTATGTCTAGTCAGATTGCCTACAATATAAACTTGGAGAGGAATCAGATAATATGTTGGCCACAAAAGAATGAAGTAGTTTTGCTCTCTTGTTTTGAAAAAGAAAATCTTGTTAAACTTCAGTGGTTTGGGCAGTTGAGGATGATGGCAGATGAGTCACAGTTACATACTGTATCTAAGTGTGACTTGGTTTTCTTTTAAGACATGCATTTGGCAATACAGATTTATGGTACTAGATAGGAGGGGGAACTCATTTAGTAAGAGGGAAATGAAAGCTGTATAAAACACTCCCCTTTACTGAATTCCTTGTCATTTATCCTGGGTTAAAATGATTTAACTAAGGATACTCTCCCTTGGCTAATAAGAATACTTACAGGAATAAAAAAAGGAGTCACTATACTCTTTATAAGTAACCTCATTATATATAACCCTGTATTTCATATATTGTGGAGTCTTTTAGAGTCTTTATCTTGAATAACAAATTATGATGTCAAATGTAAATGTGATTCATATACCTCTTACCAAAAAATGGGGTTAGAGATTTTGTGAGCAAGCTTGGAAAGATAATATGCCTAATGTTACTCAATGTAGTATACTCCATAAAATATTTACTTTAAAATAACTCTACCTTTTATTTTTGCAAATCCATATCATTCTGTGAGGGGCTAATGTAAAATTAGAATTTTTCTGCCACTTCCTTCTATTTCTGTGATTCTAATAGGCTACTTTAGCACTGGTGAAGAACTGCTTATTTACACACATTATGCACACAAGCTCACTCACAAGAATTTAAGGGTCTTTCATTCTTTCTTGGAAGGCTTTGCAACTATTTTTGTAGAAATAAACAAGGTTCAGTTCTGAAGTTTTAGAACTTTGTTGTTGGTGGCTTTTTAATTTGTGAAGAAAATGTAAAAATGTTCACTGTCTACATTTTTTTGGGATCCAGGGGAAAGGAGGAGGGTCTTAGAATTGAGAGTGAGGTGGGGACTAGGCTACTATTGACATGGGGGTGATTCCTGCCCACTGTGGCTTCCTGAGTTGCGCGTGGAGCAAGAGTCTTTGGATATGACTGAACTACTTCTGAATCACTTGAGTGTTGGGCTTGATTAAAATTCTAAATTTTCCTTGACACTGTGGCTGATCTCTTGATCTATTTTCAATTCTGGATCCACTAATGTGTTTTTTTTCCTCCTCTGGGGGCGGTGAGCAGTCTATAAATAATACCTTATGTAGAACTTCCTCTGATCTGTGCCCTTTGTTCTCATCTTTAGTGAGTTAGGTGAGTGTTTAGCTTTTTCTAGGAAAACATTTTTCAATCATTAAACCTTTGGGTGAAGAATGTAGAAAAACAAATTTTAACCCCCTCTTTTTCAATATCTTTCGGAAGGTTTGAAGTGAGATAAGAAAGCATTTTTTCTTTGGGTCATGAAGAATAGCAAAATGATACTTGTGTTTAGAAAGATTCTCTGTGTAATAAGTTGGATTGAAAGACTGTCATTTGAAAGATTGTTTTTGCTCTCATTTCCATTAAACCCTTTTTTTATTGCTGTGTCTTGCTAAGTTATCAAAATGTCTGAAAGTCTTAGAAAGATGAAGCTTTGAAGGAGTGTTGTTTGTTCCATTGCTAAGGGTAATAGGAGTTCTGCTGGGATCAGAATAGATGTGTTCACTGAGCGTGTGTATTTTTAAACACATGTGGAGCCAGACTTAAAGGGTAAAGCTTCTATTAGAATCTCCATGAGAGGGGAACATGTGTCAGCTAAGAAATAGATATTAAAGTAAGACACAGCAACACATACTGGCCCTCTTTAGGCATAAGGGGGGATTTTATATTCATCTGGCCACTTAACACATCGTGTTTTATAATATATAAAATAAATATTGGTTCATAACAGAATTTTACCTTATATAAACTTGCCTTGTGAAGTCACAACAGAATTTTCACAGTGATGGGTATTTTTATACATGTACATCTACCCACATGGAGAATTTTGAAATGTACACTTTTTTCCTACCTTATTTAAAAAATGTAGTTAAATAATCATTCTTAAGATTCAGGATTACATATAGACAGAGATAAAGCCAAGGATGGTTTGGCTCCTTTTAGCTTGTTTTCTTTCTCTCTAACACGAGAAAGGGGAAGTCTAGTGACTGTTTGGTATATTTATAAAGGTAATGTAATTAATGATATAATAAGCTTTTAAGACTCCACAAAGGAGACATTTTAGAAGTGGAGGGGGTGGAGATAGAGGGGTTGATGTTGCTATTTCCAGAGGCGGTTAGGAACTTTTAATTGCTATTCACTGATCTTATGTTCCTAGGTGGATTAAGTTTGAAGAAAAAGTGGAACAGGGTGGAGAGAGATGGAGTAAGCCCCATGTGGCTACGTTGTCCCTTCACAGCTTATTTGAGCTGAGAACATGCATGGAGAAAGGATCCATCATGCTTGACAGGGAGGCTTCTTCTCTCCCCCAGTTGGTGGGTAAGTATGTTGTTTTAAGTTCCTCTCATTTTCTCAGCATTACCTGCCTATTTGCTAGTCACCGTCAACATAGATGACTTCTGCTGTAAGCAGAGCAGAAGATTATATAACATGTAATCTCTGTTTTATATTATAAAACTAGTATAAATCCTTGCAGAAAATTTGGAAAAAGCAAATATTGAGAAATCAAAATTAAAAATATCAGTCATCATATCTCATCTGGTCATAACTGTTGTTAAAATTTTTTGTTAGGGCCTCCCCGGTGGTGCAGCGGTTGAGCGCTGGGTTGCGAGGCTGCCCGCAGCCTCGGCAGAGCCGGTTCGATCCCCGGCTGCTCTCCGGCTACCGGAGGAGGGTCCCACATGGTGCGCAGACCTCTCCTGCCGCCCGCTGCTCCCCTCAGCAGTGTACTTCAATGTTCTGCTCCCTGCTCTGGCTCTGGTGAATTCTCTCACCCTCCCGCACTTCTGACTGTACCCAGTGCTTGTATAAATAAATAAATAAAAATAAATAAATTAATAATTAAATCTTAAAAAATTTTTTTTTGTTATTTCCATTTCTATCCAGTTTTGTTTCTCAAACATATTTTTAAGTTTTATTTTTATTTATTTTTTAAATTATAGTTGGGATCATATTGTGTATGTAGGGATTTGCATCCACTTCCTCCACTTACTAGTTTAAGATTAATATTTTGAATAGAAACCCCATCATCCCAGCCCTATCATCCTTGTGATACTGAACTGGAAGTCTGAATACTAGATTCCTCTCACGCTTCAGCCTTAGACATTGCACTGAGTTTCTCTGAGCCTGAGTTTTGTCACCTCCACAATGATATGTGAGTCCTCTGCAAGAAAGAAAACAAGCTAGCTCTCGAGTTGACTCTGATTTTTGTTGGAAATCAAGCTTCTTTGGTTGTGTGTAGAGAAAGGTTGTGTGGGGCAAGGAGCCAGCAGACTCTTACGGGTTAGTGACTATACAACAGCTGGCGAGTCACTGAGCGTGACTGGGCAGAGCAACTTTGGCATCTTTTGCCAAAAGGTGTGTTAGTGTTGTACGCATTGGATGTTGAACAACTTGGGCATATGTCACTACATTTCAAACTGTAGTAATGGTTTTAGTTTTCTTGCAAGAGCCTGGCCAAAGCTGCTTTATAAATTTTAGATCTAGGTGTGCTGAAGATTGTGTTTCCTTCAAAAAGAGGTGGAGGAAGTCTACTTGTTATTCCTTTGCAACTCCATGATTGGGTGACCAGGTGTTCCAAATGAATCATCAGAGGATGTGCATTATGACCCTGAGAAAGTGACGAATGGGAAAGTTCCTGTGTAATTTCACACTTACTGTAAAATTGCTTTGACTATCTAGAGGCAAGAGACTTGTTGATTGCATCTATGTCTTTATAGACAATGGGAAGAGAGTGACACTTGTATTGGAAGAAAAAAAGTGAGACGTGTCTAGCTGACATTTATGTATTCAGTTCTCCTCCAGAGAGCTTGTTAGTTAGATTTGCAAAGGAGCCCCACACTTTTCATGCATATGAGGTATTTAAGGTGCAAGTGGTGAAGGGAGAAAGACTTAAAGTAAAGATGCTGGGTGGACAGAATTAATCAGTTGGTGCATTTATTCAGCAGTGGTGTGTGAGCTTCTGCAGTGTTTCAGATACTGTTCTAGGCCCTGGTATTATGTTTGCAAATCTACCACTGTATAAATGGGATAAATTACAAAACCATAGCCACCTAAGTAGATATAAGGCAATGTAGGAAATGCTGTTCTACGTAGAATTTTTCACATTAGACAAGGCAGGTGAGGGTCAAAAATGGATATTTGCTATTTGAGGAGCTATTTGCTATTTGCTATTTTTTAAAATTTGTTAAATGTGGCAAGAAAGAGCTTTATCCAGAAAACTATCATGATTAGCAAAAGTCAGTCCAGTTTTGAATGAGAAAATTTCTTTATTTTAACTTTAAGGAATAACTTGGAGCAAAGATGTCTGAAATTAGAGAAGTTGAAAAATAAGCCTACAAGTACATAAATGCAGGGCAGAATGGTGATTAAATTGTAACTAGGCAAAGTATAGGGGTAGAGTATGTGTTTAAGAGACAGCTAGAAAAGTTCCCTTATTTAAAAAAAAAGAAGTCCTACTTGCTGCAGAACATTGTACTGCCTGAAATTTCATTGATTAGGAATTCATTTAATTGAGTCCAAAGTTTGCCTTCTATAAAATGTGCATTGTATCTGGCAGAGGTCATGCACTAATTCCATGAGATGCACAACAATGCGATAGAAAGAATGGTGGATTAAAGTTGTGTGAGTTAGTCTGTTTCTACAGTGTGACCAGGGGCAAGCCAAGTTAATTAATTGCTTAGGAGTCTGGTTTCCTCATCTGTAAAATCAGGATAAAGGTGGACTTCTCCGGGGAGAATTAAATGAGGTGTAATTGTTATGTACTTACATGCTTACCTAAGTATAAGTTAGTTTATCCAGATTTTTCTACATGTCACTTTGTGGAGGCCTGAATATGGACTGAGCCAGGAAGAGAGATGATAGGACTTCATGAGCAGGAGGAGAGCGTGCATAAGGCGTGTAGATAAAACAGGAGCAACTTACCAGTGTCTTTTCTGTCCTGAAACTGGTTAACAAGGGCGATTAAACTTATAGTTGAATCATGTCCTTGGGATTTTCTTTAAACTGTCTTTGGACTCTTTAGCACTGACAAGTGACATTTTCAGGAGTTTCTGGTCCTCAACAACTAGTGGACCCTTTCCATGAAGTAGAAAACAGTTCTACATTACATTGGAGCCTCTTAGCCAATGGCTAAGGAGAAAGACCCTGTATTTACCTTATTTAAGAAGGGTCCATCAAGTAATTTACATTCTCAAACTTTCTATTACTTTTTATTATTGACTGTGGACGTTTCCCCCTGACCTCCATGCATTGACTTAAAAAAATTGTCTTTAAATTTTCAAATTAGACACCACCAGGTCACTTTATGGTATCAGTTAGTGATGTTTGCTCTCTGGACTCCGTGGCGAGCATGCAAAAAGCCAGCGCTGTCATTCTGGAGTTGATAATACAAGAAAACAACTCAGAGGTAAATAACACATCACAGCAAGACAAAGAAGGAAAAATAAGGGAATGAATTTGTAGAAGTGTTTGGAAGAGTGTAACTGTCTGAAAAGAAATATTTAAAAATCCTCTGAAAGAACTCAAACCTTACAGAGAGTTAAAAAATATGAAAATAAAATCCTTATTTCTTTCTAAATGACAGAGATGCTGTGGCAACTTGAAGAGTTACTGTCATTATTTGGTTATCAAAAAAGTCCTTTCCTGGCAGAAGATGAAGTAAAGTTGTTTTGTCTTGAATTGTGCTGATAATTCATTGTTGAAAAATATGTGCCACTAAGTCTTCAGATACTTCTTCCCTCCAGCTCAATTTTATCTCAATAGGTGAGAAGATAAAGAAATAATAGCAAGTGCAAGTGTTTATATCAAACAAACAGTAGCATGATTTCTATCCTTCCTTGCAGTCCATCTGCTGCTCCTTCTCAGCGTTGCCTCTGAGCGGTTTCCCCCGTGCAGGTGCAGAGGTGTGGAGCTTGCAGTCACCCAGCCCTAGGCAGCTGGTTAGCAGGTGTTTCTTCTCACATTTATATAAACAATTCAAACTAATTTTAGTATTCAGCACGTCTATTTGTTTTCTTCATGAATTACTTCTTAATGCCAGCAGTAAGTAAATAAAAGAAGAATGAGAGAGACAAATGCCACATGATTTCACTAGTATATGAAATATAGAGGAAAAAAAAAACAAAAGGACAAAACAGAGCAAAAGGAACCCTAGAAATCTGATTGTAGAATTGAGGGATAATGGAAGGGGATGGGGAGGGCACAGGCACAAAGTGGGGGGAGTCCAGTGGACTGTGGTGGACTAAGGGCGCTTGGTAGTGGGTGTGGTGAGGTAACATTCATCTTAAGACGTGTGAACATGTACTTCTGAATCATATATAGTGTAAACCAATGTTACCTCAAAAAGTAATACAAGAAAAAAAGAATGTGAACTATTATAAAGGATAAGACATCATTTTCCTGGATTTTTTTTTTTTAAGATTTATTTATTTATTTATACAAGCACTGGGTACAGTCAGAAGCATGGTAGGGTGAGAGAATTCACCAGAGCTAGAGCAGAGAGCAGAACAGGCAGACTGATGAAGTACAGTGCTGAGGGGAGCAGCGGGCGGCAGGAGAGGTCTGCGCGCCATGTGGGACCCTCGCCTGGCGGCCAGGGATCGAACCAGCAGTGCAGAGGCTGCGGGCAGCTTTGCAACCCAGCGCTCAACTGCTGCGCCACTGGGGAGGCCCTTCTTGAATTACTTTAATATCTTTATTACTGCAGTCATCATTATAATTCTACATTTAAAGTGTCAGTCGCATATGACACCAGGTACATGGAACTTATCCTCCTCCCCTCAGTTAAAAAATAGTTATAAGTCATTTCAGGTATTTTATTATGTTGAAAATGGATTAGGAAACTGTCGCTCTATTTTTGGAGTTCTCATTTTTTTATTTAAAGGCATTCCTGAGTTGTGCATGTTGGCAGATGTGTTAGTCATGTTGTTTCTTGCTTTTTACACCTTTATATTTTCAAAATGGTGATATGCTTATTTTTTTATCACCAGCCCAATATATATGTTCATTTAAAAATAATCCAGAAAAATATAACACCCCCAAATCAAAATACCTACTAATGTAATCTTTCAGAGTTATCCTCCAGCAATTTTTCTGTATACCTCTGAGTATACACAGGTAATTTATTTTATAAAATGGGATTATCCTTCAGTATATTCATCTTCCCTTTATAACTTAAAAATACAGAATCTTTCCATGTCATTAAATATAAATATAAATATCATTCTGGGCCTCTCCTGGTGGCGTGGGCAGTTGAGCACAGTGTGGTGAAGCTGTCCGCAGTCTCTGCAGTGTGGGTTCGATTCCAGCTGGCCGGTGAGATACCCACATGGCACGGCAGACCTCTCCTGTCTCGCCCACTGCTTCCCTCAGCAGTGTATTTCAGTCTGCCTGTTCTGTTCCCTGCTCTGTCTCTAGTGAATTCTCTCGCCCTCCTGTGCCTCTGGCCTATACCCTGGTTCTTGTATACATGAATAAATAAATCTTTAAAAAAATATAAACATCATTTTAATGGTTGCAAAATGTTTAATAAGAAAATATTGGGGATTTAACTTGCATTCCACATTTGATTGTAAAGAAAAGTGAATACTTTTAACTTGTGAATTTGCTTATTTTCTTGTTTAGGTGTCTAATAAGGAAAGAGTCAAAGGACTTGAACTTGTATTTGCCAAATGTCTTTCTTGTACTAGTTATACCTGCCACCAGCAGTATGCAAGATAGCCTATTCCACACAGCTCTAGCATTATTGAGTTTTTCAATTTTGCTGCTTTGATAGGTTAACCAGTATCTCATAATTGGTTATATTTGTAGAAAGTTTAAATATTCTGTTAGTCTTGAAGTTGAATATATTTGAACCTTAATATTTTTTAAGGATCTTAGTCTGAATTCATCACCTTTAGCCATTTTCAGCTTCACAACTGTATTTCTCCCAGTTTCCAGAAGATCTGCATCTGTCAACATTTGTTTTTAGTTAAAAGCTTTTTTTAAAGTAAAAATACTATGTGATATGGAAAAAGATCCTAACTGTGAGTCAGAAAACCTGGTTTTACTTGGAGTTTTGGCCTCTACCGATGCTCCGTCTACCAGCAAGTTGCCTCTGGTGCCCTCTGTTTTCTTCTGTGTAACAGGAGGGTGAACTTGATGATCCCTGAGATTGCTTTCAGCTCTGTATCCTCTAGAGGTGGCACATTCTCTCCCAACTGGTAGTAACCGTGGGATCTTGAACACTGAAGGCTTAATTCTAGTGTAGCTGTGAAGTGTTATTGCCCCCACTCTCCTTGAAAGGTTTTGTAGTTTATGCTTAAAGATATCTTTGTAATGTGCACCATTTTATGGACTCTTAATGCAGGGCATAAGACACACAGGTGTTTTAACCTGTTCTAACTGGTGATTTCCAGGCATTAGTAACAGAGGGCAAGCTGTGCATATGTATGGATTGGCCTGAGATTATAAGGGAGGGCAAGATAGAGGGAGGCTTTGCCAGAGGGAGATAAGAAATGCTTTAATCCACAAACCTGGAATTAGAGTAGGAGTTTGATAACACTTACAGCAGATATGCTGGGGCTGTTTATTTATTTTTGTGGTTCTTCTGTAAAATGGACTTTCCACACTGAATAAGACTTAAAGGGGAGAGTAGTGTGGTTGAGTTCTGTAGCACCCAATTATTTTACTGTAGAACAGAGTTAATTGTAATTAGAAGATCAGTTCTGAGAGCTTTTCTGACGAGGGTTTTTGTGGTTAAAAATACTCAGAACTAAAGGCCACTCTAAAACCAAACTTGCTTTTGGGAGAAACTCTTACTGCTTTACCAAAGGGCCCTGGGTTATGTGACATTTATGACATCTGTGTAAGACTTGTGATGGAAATCCTGGATTTATCCTCTGCTTGACTCCCAAATAGTTCATTGTTCACTGCACCATCAGTTTTCAGCTATGGACTATAAAGCCACTTCTGTGCATGCTTGTTATAAAGATGGACTTCTGAGTGATATGGTTAGGCCCAATCAAAGCCCCTTGAGCACCTATAACTTCTTGCTGCAAAGAGATAAGAATGCTTGGGAGATGGTGTTATCCTACCAGTCCCCATCAATTTTCTTGTTAGATTTTTTTGGGGGAAATGAGCTTTTATTCTTTTATCCACTTTTGTGTACTGAGAAGTTTACCTAAAGGGAAAATATTGAAGGGTACTACATGCACCCATGTACCTGACAAAGTAGGCATGGGAGCCACTGTGCAGGGACAGAAATAGTACCTGCATACAGTGAGGTCTTTTCATACCATTGCTTATCTTGCACAGATTCTGTGATATTTTGATCTGAGCCCAACCTACTATGAACAAAGGAAATGGCGACCCGTGATGTAACAGAGTAGGATACACTAAGCCACATTTATGCCATTGTGCTGACATGCTGATTTGTGAGAAAGGGGCCTTGTTGCTTTCTACTAGAATAAACTTTGCCTTTAGCAGAACCACCTAGGGATCAAATTCTATAAAACAGTCATCTTTTCTATTGAAACTTTTCTAAATAAAGAGCTAATAGAAATTTTACCCTTTTTTTTGTAGTAAAACTAAAATATGAAAGCTTTGGAGAAGTTTCTGTTCAGGTTATATTTTAAAATAACTAACATTTTAGTTGGATCTAAACAAGAAAAATAAACATTCTTCTTAGAAAAGTCTAAGGCATAATTTCATAGTTCAATGTTCAATTCATGGAATTAATTGGTATTTATAGAACCTAACATGGGAAAGTTGTTGTTTTCCCTACTTTATTCTATTATATAGAAAATATAGCTTCATAGAAGAATTTGGGAGAAAAGATTTAAAAATTAATAATGTAACTATTTTAATTTTGTATAATCTCTTCAAGTCTTTACATAATTAGTTGTATTTATGAAATTATATAAATTCCTCAAAAGACTGAAAATGGGCCTGCCATATGACCCAGCAGTTCTACTCCTAGGTATCTACCTAACGAACATAAGAACACTAATTCAAAAGGAAACCTGCACTCTTATATTCATTGCAGCATGATTCACAATAGCCAAGACAGAAACAACCTAATGCCCCAGAACAGATGAATGAATCAAGATGTGATATATATATATATATATATGTATGTAAACACACACACACACATGATGGAATACTACTCAGCAGTCAAAAATGACAAACTCATGTCATTTGTGGCAAAATGGATGCAACTGGAAGGGATTATCCTAAATGAAGTGAACCAGGAGAAAGATAAATACCAGATGATTTCACTATAAGTGGAATATAGAGAAACCAAATAAAGGATCAGATGAAGTCAAACTTTTCAACTGATCCTTGAAAGCTGACCATACAGCTGAGGCATCCATGAGAGGGAGGAACAGAGGAGGAATAGTAGAAGGGAGAAAACAGGGTGAGGAGACTATGGTGGACTATGATGGAGGACTGTGGGTGCTTCGATGGTGGGAGAACTAAAGTGATCACACCTGAGGGAAGAAATTGTGCATTGTGAAAAAGCAAGGGTATAAAATAATGACATTATTATTTAAAAAATTTTATTTCTGGCATACCTGCTATGGTAGAATACATGAAACTTTTAAAAATTGTACTTTTTTATTGTGACATTAATATTCAGTATTATTTATGAATTCGAGGTATAGATTCACACCTCTTCAGATGTGAAGAGGTTACCACATTGCACATACCACCAAGAACCCTTGTCTTCCACCACAGCCTATTGAGGCCCTTCTTCCCTTAGATCTCCAGTCCTTACCCTCCTCTAGAATTGATGTTTTGGTTTTATCTTACTCTTTGTTTTGTTTCTTTATATTCCACATATGAGTGATGCCACCTGGTATTTGTCTTTATCCTTCTGATTTATTTCTCTTAGAATTATCCCTTACAGCACCACCCATGTTCTTGCAAATGGAAGAGGTTTTTTTTTTTTTTTTTCAATAGCTGACTGTTATTTCATATTGTATGTATACCACATCTCTTAATCCACTCATCTGTCCTTGGGTGCTTAGGTTATTTCTATAACTTGATTATTATAAACAGTGCTGCAATGAACATAGAGTGCATATAGCTCTCTAATTAGTGTTTTTACATTATTTGGGTAGATACCTAGGAGTAGGATTGCTGCATCATGTGGTAGGTCTATTTTTAATATTTTGAGAGCCTTCCATACTATTTTCTATAGGGTCTGGATCAGTATACATTCCCACCAACAGTGAAGTACATGAAATATTTAAATTTTACCTTTTGTTACTTTATTGAAAAACCTAAATTGCTGACTTACACTATAACTTATAGAAGAACATGATAATGTGAATTCACTGTTAAGGGGGACTGAAAAAATGAACAGGACAATTCTCTCCAGACATGATTACCAATGGAAAGCTTTATACTCTCACATATGCCAGTATCCCTGTGCCTTTAGTTGGAAATATTGGTACCAAATTTGAGGATGGTATTCATGAAGTTGGAGTACAAGATGACATTTGTGGTCTGAGGACTGAGTTTCACTTTTTGTTTTCGTTTTGTTTTTGTATCAGAGATGATAGTTGACCATCAGATTGAGACAGGCCTACTGAAACCTGATCTTAAGGATAAGGTGACCTATACCTTGCTGCGGAAGCACCGGCATCAAACCAAGAAGTCCAACCTTCGCTCCTTGGCTGACATTGGGAAGACAGTCTCCAGTGCAAGTCGGATGTTTACCAGCCCCGATAATGGTAATGCAGGGCCAGCTGGCTGCTGCGCTCTTCCTCAGTCTCACTCACCTTTACTCCGTCTCTGTCCTATCTTCTTAAAATCCCTCATTATATTTCTTTTCTCAAGTTCATATGCCACAACCATTTCATAATGATGCTTTTTATCCAATTGGGTAGGTTTGCAATCCTGTTGGAAAGAGTTCAGCGGTTATTGTAGGCAGCACTGCCAAGTTGACTTGCTGCCTTCATATACATCTATTGATTGACTGAGATGGTTTGCTAATAACGCTGTGATGAAAGAACTGAATATGTCATATGAATCCGCAAACTTGTAGATTTTGAGTATGCCAAGGAATACGCTTTTGACATGTGGTTTGTCAGAATTAGGAGGTTAGACTAAGATATGATAAATGTCCTGAAATCTAGTATTATGATGAATTTGCTTGGTATATGAGGTGGTATCCAGCCTGAAAACAAACCATCATTCAAGTAAGGCTCAATATTATTTTTACTACTGAAAATTGTTCTTGTTACATGATGATAATGAGAGATGTAAGAATAAGTGTTCAGAATGGACTATTAATCTCCTTTAGCAATAGGAAAGGAATTGCATCTTATTTATGGTCTATTGCATTTACTAGAGTCTCCTATAAAGTCGCTATCTTCTGTATTTGTGTGTATGTGTATGTTTCAAGTAAATTCATGATGGGGTTCAATCTGAGAAGGGAGATGTTAATTTCCATGAGGTATAGAAAATGCTGCAAAGAGTTTGCCAAGCATTGGGGCTGGTGAAATTGTATCTCCCATACAACCCTCAATCTCTTTTAAAAGAAATGAGTAGGTAAGACAGTGGTCTAATTCATTACCCTCACCTGTACATTCAGAATAACAAAACATTCTGTTACAGAAAAAGTTGGACTCAGTGAATTGTATAAAGTGAATTCTAACGCAGTCACTCTGGAAATTGGGTTGTCTTAAAATTAATGACTGGCTGGACAGCAGCTTACTATTAGTAAACGCACTCTGGTGTATTTTTGAGCCATTCTGTTACTGTATTTTCTTATGACTGTTTAGTCATTAAGTAGAACCAATGAAAAGTTCCATTTTATTGAGAGACTTATGCTACCATAAATTTTTTAAAAAGCAAAAAAAAGTTATAATTAAAATTAAAATCCTCTTTACCTAAAACAATCACAACAGGAAGATTCCAACTAGAACATTCCCACTCTAATTTGATGGTCCTGATCATTACCTGGAATACTGCTGCTTACTGGAAATGTTTTGGTTTTTGTGTGTTTACACTGTTTTTGTCTTTTTAATTGTATCTTTGAAGAGAAGGATGGTTTAATGGCTGGGAATGTTATGGAATGAACAGTTTGTTATAACTGATGTCACAAATGTTTCATTTTAAAAACAACACATGTTTTAAAAATTATGGCAATTAAAGTGTGATTTTTTAAAATCTTATTTATTATCCTCTTTTTCATAGAAAATGAAATTGCATTTTAAAATGAAAATTGGTGGTAGTATAAAGTAAAAGAAATAAGAGAGTGTGCATTGTTTTCAAATACAGCTGTATTTGCAGAGAAAAGAAATAAAAATGGCAGAGCAAGGTGCCTTTTTCCAGTGTGGTGTGAACTTTACTTTCATGGCAGTTCAGGCAGAGTAGAAATTAGGAACAGATGTGTCTTTGAGGCCAGTATCTCACATGTTTGGATGAGGAATACAACTAATAGGTTGCTATTGCTGGTCATTTCAATCTTTTAACCTATCAGTAGATCTTTGTACTTCAGAGGAATGTTGAAATTTCCTTCATCATTCACCTTTTCACTTGTGAAATTTTATATACACTGGGCAGAAAACAAACAGGAAGAGTTAAGCAGTTCCTTTACTTTCCCGCTCTTCACTTGATCAAGTTTCTCCCTGAAGCATGGAATATGACTAGGCACTTTAAAACATGTTATTATTGGCCTTTGTGTTACCTAACTCCTTTTAAATATCTAGAGGGAAGATTTGACTTTGAGAGACCCTATAGTAATAAATTTTAAATGCCTCTTAGGTACATTATTATAAGTTATCAGTTTTCTAGAGGCACTTGTCCTCAACTTGCAAGTTTTTACATTTCGGGGTCAATTACTTAATGTCTTTAAACTACTCTCATATGCTCTTATAATAAATTTCTAAAATAATGACTTACATAACTATTGTTACTATTTTAATAAATCAGAATCTTATATCTATTATAGTTACATCTAGAGTCTAATATCCCTATATAAAACCTAGATAAACTGAAGTTACTTTAGTGTTCTATCATAGGCTGGAAACTATAATCAGTGACATTGCCAGCCTTAGTGATGATAGCGGCAATGCAATTAATTATTGAAAATTGTAGAGCTACTTTAGCATTGGGGAAAAAAAATCATTTCCCAGTGATATGCTGGAGCCACCTCTATCTATACAAAGGAGCCAATTGTTATTAGGAATTTTGTGAGCTAGTTGTTAAATACAGCTATTGTTAAACATTCAGTTACAAGAACATATAATAAAATAGTTATATTAAAAACAAAGTTAAATTCTCAAAAAATTATCACTTTCAGCTTATTTAACTATAGTTATGCGCTTAGGTCATTTACATCCATTTGTATCTATATGCACATATATCTGTGTGATTGGTGGAAATACTATAAAATGGCTTGCTACTGTCACCTCTTCCCAACTGTGTTCAGTGACTTCATATTGAAATTAACCATTATTTACACCATAGAAATTAGTAAATGGAATAAATCATGGCTTGGTTTATTGTTTTGTTATAATCTTCAGACTTAAAGTGATGGATAAAATGCTACTAATGCAGATTTAACTTAAAAGTATATAGCTAGTGTCTTGGTCAGTTGTGCTCCTGTAAAAAATGGCCATAGATTGCATGATTTAAACAAGCAGCGTTTATTTCTCACAGTTCTGGAGACTGGGTAGCCCAAAGTCAAGGTGCTGCAGATGGTTGTTGGTGAATTCCCTTCTTGGCTGATAGCTGGTCACCTTGTAGCTTCACATGAGAGGGGAGAGATTGACATCTTTTTCCTGTTTCTTCATGTAAGGGTGTTAATTCCATTCATGAAGACTTTGTCTTCCACCCCAACACCCCATCTCCTACTACTATCACTTTGGGGGTTAGGATTTTAATATGAATTTTGGGAGGATGCAAACATTCAGTTCATAACAGCTGTTAAACTAAATAGCCTAAAAAAGCCTGAAGAAACATTTTTCTGGGTATACTAAAAACTATTATCCAATTTAGCAAAGGAGTTACCCACATTATTGACGATGAACGAAGTCTGACATACATCTTATTGTTTTGCTTTTTGTCTTGTTAATATGTATAATAATGGATGTTCAACATGGATGTTGGAATTACACTAGTTTGCCAGTTGGAACCATCAGTTGGCTGATGATAAGGCGTTTGGTGAAAATCATCAAAAGCCTCCACAGGAATCCACTGACTACATGCAATTTATAATACTGTATAATTTTATTTGTATGTGTGCTAGACATCCTTATCCTTTGTATCAGTGAAATTTAACACACACATACACACACACCCATACACACTGCCCCCCGCTTTATCCCTGACAGCTGTTTTTCAAACCTTTGTGAGTCTAGCCACCACCAATCCAACACTGTCTATTCATAGCTAAAGACTACCTCTCATCATTTAGGGTTCTGATGTGGCTTGGGGTTTGGGATGGTTAATTGTTTTTAAGAAGAAATGAAAACCACTTTCTTTTGTAATAAATCAGAAAAGAATCAGGCTATCTTCCAAGATGTTAATTATTGTGAAGTTGCTGCTTGTCTGAGACATCTGTGAATTCTTATGACTGCTAGGTACTGAATTTTAGACAAGTGCTGAAATTTCTCAACATATTAATTGAGACATTGCTATAGAAGTAATATTGCCTGAAGAAATTAATGAGGTTTAAATGTCCTCTGGTGTTAGATTTTTCCTTTCCTTTTTATTTCTCACTGTTGTTCTAGGTTGAAACATAATGAAATTGCCACTTCTATGCACAAAAGTAATGTTGGCTATTAGCAATTTCAAATTATTATACTTAATAATTTGGTCCAAGAAACCTAGAAAATAGTTCTGTATTATTGTAGTTTATTATGAAAGAATAACAGTTAAGCCTGGAAATATCCCCCTATTTAGAAAACAAGTAAGATGTATTTAGTTTGTTTTTTGTTATAAAGTGAAAGTAAAGTTTAATTTTAAATTCGTATTTAATATATATTTACTAAGGTGTTTAAGGGATAATTCTATTTCAGAAGATCATGTTTTATACAATGACCTGAGTTTTAAAAATATCACTCATCATTTAAATATATACTTTTGATATGTATTATCTAAGATGTCAAAAGATGAATGAAACCTAAGGACCAAGACCAAGTAGGAACCTTAATTTGAGTATTTAAATTTCTCCACCTTTGTGAAAATTTGGGTAAAGCCGTCATCAATTTGTCCCTGTTTTTTACCCAACTTCTTCAATTTTTCCACCTAAACTATCATAAAGATCTGTTTCTTGCCTTCCTTGACCTGAGAGTAAGAATACCTTTTACTGAAAAGTGACTTTGATTATCTAGTCAGAATTGGATGATGAATGTCAATTTTCCTCAATTCAATTTCATGAACACCATTTTCCATTCCTTATTTTTTCCAATAAAAATTTGTAAAGGTAGTAACTGTAGCTTCCTAGTTCTTTCCTACACTGCCATTTTTGACATTAGCACAACACACTTTTATGTATTTTAAAAAGTATAGTCTGTTGCTATTACCTACAACATCATAGTTGTAGTTAGGAGCAAAGAACAAAGAATGGGGAGAAATTTTTTTGCCACAGTAATTCTAGGCCCCATTGAAATGTTAGTGGGGTTAGCTAGGATCTTGTTGCCTTGGGCTTGTTTTGAGATGAGGCATATTCAAGCTATTTGGTTTGGATATTGGATTAAGCTGCCTAGATCCTGACAAGTGA